TATATATATATACTCGTCATGTCCCACATACTTTAGTCAGTTGTGGTATATTTTTAATCTCTAGACGGTCATGTCGTCATAGAGTAAATATAGGTTTATATTAAAATATATGTTAACTTTTAGGAATAGAATTTTGTCAAATGGGGTTTTGACTTTTTAGTCATAAAATTTAAGCATATAAGTGTTTTTAGTCATAAATTTGTGGCAAAAGGGGCTTTTACCTTTTAGTCTATGCTCCATGGCCCTCTGGATTAGGATCTCTGCTAAATTTACGATCAATCTTCGGAAGAAACCTGATTTCTGGTCGCGACCCTAATCCAGAGGGCCGTGTTTACACTGTTCAGTCATAACATTTAAGCACAAGGGGGTTTTAGTTATAACATTTAGACATATTAAGGGTTTGTAGTCATACAAAACATTTAGGCTATGTGTATTACACGGCCCTTTGACCCTCAGTCCCTCACACTCACCACAGCCGCTAAAATATAAAAAGCTACTGCGGCGGGCTGCACTCGACACTGACTCGCTGAGCCGTTGACTCGCAGACTCGCAGTCTCGCAGTGCTCAAAACGTTTTAGATAAATAGTTATAACGATAAATTGTTCACGTAATTTTTAAAAATAGAAAATACGTTCAACTTTACACTGAAATAATTCATTGATGTTTTTGTTGTAAAACGATATTTGAATGAATGTTGATCTACAGAGCATCGACTACTTTACAGTTTACACTCCAGTCTATAGTCCATTTTAACATTTAGAACATTAAGAGTTTCTCCTCTCTCTCTCTCCTACTCTCTACTATATAGCAGTCTCTACTCTAGTCTCTACTACTCTACTCTCTCTTAAAGAGAGAGAGAGTATATGTAAAATAAACTACTTGCAAACATAGTTTGTATTACTGTTTTTTATTAAAAACAAACCCAGTAAAGTTGAGAGAGAGAGAGAGATAGATTATAGTAGAGTAGTCAGTAGAGTAGTGAGTAGGGTATCGATTTTTTTGCACTCTGCAGCAATTGTTTTATATTATTTTGATTCAAAATAGCTAAATTTTAAAAAAATATTCATGATTTAGTCTATTTTTTAAATACACCTAAATCTATGACACTCTACAGTCTACACTCTACAGTCTACAGCTGAACGAGGAACACATACAAATAAACATAAAAGTGCATATTATTATTTTCAGCGTTTTATACGTATTTACTATTTTAGGAAATACAAATATATGTACATATTTAAAATTAGGAATATTATTTTATAAAATATGCCATATTTATGAAAAATAGATGGCATATCTATTTTATTTTTTAAATTTTCCTAAAAATATATTTCGTTCATTTTTCATATTTACTATTTTTCTAAAAATATATATATTACATCTTATTATTTCGCTTATATAATTTCCTCATATTTATTTATTTCTCCTATATTTCCACATGTTATACTTTTAAGAGCATATTAATATTTTGTATTGACATAGCTTGCTATTTAGTATGAGTGACGATAGTTAATACTAAAAGTTACAAACACATTGATAAACAGTCCTTGTGTATGCACAACACATATGCACAACGTAGCATAGTAATCTACAAGTGTGAACATATATATGAAGCTTACACTTTGTTTATGTACACTAAAAAAGTAAAAGTTCTATAGTCTATATAATAAATAAATCATGAGTTATATGACATCTAAACACGCATTTTTATAATGTTATTATTCCGAGTCATAGAACTCGACAGAGATCATTTAACAGTGAAGCTGGAAGATGTACAGATCAAGCTGCACTTGAATACTGTGCACTGGGGAGGCATATTTCGGCATGTGGGCTTATATTGTCACTGTATATAAGTCAAATAAACTAACGATTAATGTGTTGACTTGTGTATATAATATATGTGATTGCTTGTCAGTATATCAACACCACAAATATAAAACTGGATCAATTTTTTTTGCCACTTTTTTTTGTTCCAGAAATCAATCAATTCTCAAATTGGTAACAATTTGCCACCATATATATATATATATATATTATATATATATATATTTCCTTTGTAAAAAAAATATTGTGTTGACTCACTTGACTGATGTCAACTTGTCATGTCCCTCTCCGAGTCTGAAAACCTGACTCTCTCTCTCTCTCTCTCTCTACTAGAGTTTGATTTTTTTTTCTCATCGGCTGCATTTTTCATCCAGCGACAATTTCTAGAGAGAGGGCCATGCTGTTGTAAATATACAGTTGATTTTTGTTTTTGTAAAAAACAAAACGATTTGAAGACTGGCGTTAGGGGTACGGATACGGGATAATTGATCATATTTCTTTGGTATTATTAGTTATTACTACATGGGTCGAGAGTCGAGACCGGAGAGCCAAGCTAAAAACGTTATCCGATATAACGTTTAAAAACAATTATTTTATTAATTTACATTTAACGGTTATATACCATAGTCCATTTCAGATGACTGGTCATTATGTCCTTAAATTTTGGAGCCAGATGTAGCCAGAAAGAGTGACGGTTATTTTGGGCTATATGGCCCATTTCGTTATTAATAGGTGCATTTTTTAAGTGCAATTTTCAATATTTTATTTCAGAAACCATATATGACCTTTAAAACGGTTTATCGGATATTTTTATATATAATTTTGCATTCACGTTTACCGTGTATCCTATCGTAGTGTATTGAGCTTCGCCGGAGAGGCGGGGACTCGACAGTCGACAGTGTCGACACTCGTGACTCGACACTCGAGAGTCGAGACTCCGGGATCAAAATTGTTTTGTAAAACCAAAAGCAATTTGAAAAAAAAATGAGATTCATCAGAGTACGGATAAAGGATTGTGCTGGTACTCGGTAATCAATTGACGGTTCAAATAGGACTTATTCACAAAATTATCAGAGAACAAAGGAGACGATTGGAGAACGTATTCAAGAGGTAAATATTAATAAATTATAATGTCCTAACTCCTAAAGTCCTTTAGCCTTTTTTAGTCTAAACCAGATAGACTGTCAGAAACAGAGAAACTAAATAAATAGAATACATACTTAGATTTGATGTATTTTTAGCCCGGTCGGAAAGTTTTGGAGGTAACAGTATTAGGGGAACTAAAAAAGCAGTGTTGAAAACTTTCCGCCCGTCAATCACCGACTGGACGGCTCACGGGAGTCCCGGCTGGACACGTATGGAAGACTTGGTCCTTGGAGGCCACGAATTGGCTACAGGCCCGCCCGCCTGTGGCCCGTGGGTGCGACTACATACAGTTGCACACGTTTGCTCAAGCACATAATCTGCTCTGAAATGGGAGTAATCAAACATGACAGCCAGTGGACCGTGACACTGCTATTCAGCATTTTTCGTTCAACGATCTCACGAGAGTGTTGAGACTTGAGACTTGTGAGAGCATGATTATTGATTTCAGATTTAAAAAAAATAATGCACTCTACAGTCTACTCTCTCTAGCTGCTCTCTCTATGTCTAATTGTCCATAGAGTATAGAGGGCATGATTATTGATTCGCGTATCAGTAACAAGAGTATGAACCTTGCAATTTGGATTATTCTGTAGAAGCCTCAGAATAGGACAAAATCGGAACGATGACCGTGAAATGGAATAATAGACATGAACCACAAAATTCCGAATGTGAGTGCATGAGGAGCGTTGAGGTAAAATATTTTTATAAATTGAATATGAATTGACACGTCCTATATAAGCCAGTGCAACTGCACTTGCAAATTTCAGAACTATTGAATTGCGATACAGTCACAACAAACTTGACTACTGACACAATGAGAGTCCACACACTAACAGCAATTATTGCACTTGCTGCCACTGTGATGGCTCAAGGCCCTACTGCAAGCCCCACACCAACACCGTCAGTATCTTCTGAAGCGACAATGCCTGCACCGTCGGCATCGACTTCAGAGGCACCATCTGCCCCTACACCATCGGCATCGACTTCGGAGGTACCGACTGTCCATACACCAACGGCATCGACTTCGGAGGTACCGACTGCCCCTACACCAACGGCATCGACTTTGGAGTCAACAACTGCCCCCAACGTTTCAGAAGGACCTGCCGCAACACCAACTGCTTCTCCTACCCCATCAGCGAGCGAGTCAACAGAACCCGTAGTAACAATCACACCATCTGCAACGGCCACACCATCTGCATCTCCAAGTACGTCCATGGATGCTGCTGTAACACAATCTGCGACTGCCACACCATCTGCCTCACCTAGCACGTCTACGAATGCTGCTGTCACATCCACCCCAACTGTCCCCGATAGTGACTATATCACGTGTGCGATTAAGGATGTCGAAAGTCCTCTAGGCTGTGATGAGGTTCAGGACGACAAGTCGTGCTGTCGATACAGTTGGAGCTGTGGAAATCTAAACAAGTGCACCCCCTCGTTCTGTTGCAAAGAGACCATCCCCACACCAACTCCTCATCCTTCACCATCCAGCACCCCCAGTTACGAGCCAGTCGATAATTACATCAACTGTGCTGTGAAGAAGTCAGAGGGTGGCTTTAAATGCAACGGAGATGAGGTGGTAGACAAAAAGAAGGAGTGCTGTCGTTGGTCTGATGAATGTGGCAACTTGAAGAAGTGTACCGAGGATTACTGTTGCACTGACGATACTTATCACCCTAAGCCATCACCTTCTGCCAAACCTCAAGACTACAGTATCAAGTGCAAGGAGAAGCATGGTATCTATTGCTCTGTAGGCTCTGAGTTAGATGAGGACAAGAAGTGCTGTGAGTATCCCGGCGCATGTGGAGATCTTAAAAGTTGTAAATCAGATTACTGCTGTACCGAATCTGGCCCACTACCACCACCAGATACCGTTGGAGCCTGTGATTGTGATGGAGCAGTAGTCGACAAGGTTTGTTACTCAACGCTCGAGAAAGCTATTAAAGCTGCATCGAATGGTGACATCGTCTACGTTGGTGGTGATATCGAGGTAGACGCGCCTATTCAATTTACACAAAGTCTGTCCTTCAGCGGTGTGCTTTGTGATGACGAGCGGGCTCAGATTATCGCTACTTTCGATGAGGTCGATAGAGCTATCTTCGAGGCTGTGAATGAGGATGAACAGGAAGTGAACTTCCTGCACCTGGCTATCACCAGCGAGGATGACAACTCGGCTGCTGCGTTCCACTCTCTTGGCAGTGTCACTGACGCCCCTAACCAGGGAGTGACCATGAACTTGACGAATGTATGGATTCATGACC